AGGAAGCCGTCGCCACGGGACACTCGGGACGACTTCTACTCGGCGCCCCCCACGAGCACCCAGCTTTTCATCATTTCTCACAAAGACGACCTATGCCCGAGCCTGACCCAGGAAGCAAGAGAGCTACAAGGAGACCCGCCTGCCGCTGTCCAGCCAGCGAAGCCTACCCCCAGACAGCAACCTTGCATGGCCGATTTTAAGAGTGACCGCCCACGGCAGATAACGCGGCAGGTTGCTCGTGTACGCACACCGATGGCACCGCCTCCGCGTCCTACGAAGGCGGAACCGGCCAAGGCCATGAACCCGAGCGAGGCTCTCGCACTTCCATTCATCTCTACTCAAGATCTGCTCTTTTCCTCCCAGGACCTCCGAGATGTCGAGGAACCCACGACAACTCCCGGCAAGGCCGGAGATCCCAGGAGCAGCAACAAACTACCCCCATTCCGGCGCCCACCTGTGGCTGGACAGGGCTCCTCGCGGTTGTCAAATTACGCTCCACTAACACCGGCTCAGCCGCACACGACACCCCGACCCCGCCCGAAGCCTCCCACCCCCGGGCTGAAACAACCCCCACCCCCCGTTAATGGGGACAAGCTACGGCAACCTGGATGTGAGCAAGCAGGTGATTGTTTAGAGTCTAACTATTCGCTTTGCGGATAAGCAGTCACGGCAGAGCAGCAGGTCTGGAACATCCCACTGTCCGGCCAGCCTAGAAGCAAAGGACACACCACCCACAGATGCCCAACCACGCCGTCTCCATGCGAGAGAAGCCCAGGTTCTTCGGTTCCAGTGCAGAGGTTTGAGGTGATGGTAGCGCTCAACAGGAGCAAAAAGACTCACCAAGAAGAAGGAGAGAAGGCGCCAGAGCGGGCGCGAACCACCTGCCGGCACCCGGCCAGGAATGGGCCCTGGTTGAACCCACAATCACGGTTTCTTCATGGAGACCGACTACGTGCGGACCCAGAGCTTGACCTTGATAGACTTTTTGACGACCTCGTTACGGCCACGAGCTAAGACTTTATGCATACATGATGAACAAGTACGAGATAGATGCTGACGGCGACTGGGATCGATGACGACGCCTGGTTTGCATGTCGTTGGGCCGTATTTGCTTAATGCAGCCCTAACCCTGAGGTCTTAGGATATCACCAACCCCTGAATATAACTTAACCAGGTTATTATTTCTTGGTATTCGTAACAAGCTGCAGTTTGTCAGGCGAGTTAACGCAGGACATGGAATCTCGTATAGTCAGCAGCCATATTTGCCAAAGACACAACACCCATGACTCCGTCTCTCTAAAACTCGTGGCCATGTTACTCTGTGCCTCCGTGCTCCCCAAGTGCGCCTCACCACACCACGACGTTGCGCACAAGTTTGGGTGCCAAGCACGCACGATTGGGCAGAAATGGCCCCCTGAAGGCCAGAGCGGCCAGACGCGCATGGCGGGAATGCGGCCGACGGTGGCTTGGGACCTTGTGGCCCGACGCACCCCTGCCGGCCTGAAATGCAATGCGGAAATCTCAGGCGAGCGGGAGCGGGAATCCAGGGCGGCGGAATGCGGCCTGTCATTCCCATGGTGCGTCAGCCCCAGACTTTGGCAGTGACTTTGGAGGCCTAACGGTTTTCCCCCTTCTCACACGAGACCCGAGACACGAGACACGAGACGCTTTAGAGTGCCTCTCCGCCCTGCAGACGCAGTAGTCCGTCTGCCTCCCCGCATTCTCGATTTATCCCTGTCACTTCGCCAGCGGTAACACCACCTTTGCTTTGCGTCTTTCAGTCAGGCACACACAGACGGGGAAAAACACACAGAAGGCCCATCCCAAACCCGGCGGAGCAAGCTGAAGCGGAGAGAACCTGAAATGAGCCGCTTCGACCGCCCTCGTCACGCTTACGAGTACGACTACACGGGCGGCCGCAGCTTCTGGGACACGCGCACCTTCATCGGGATCGACGACGACGACGACAACGATGTCGAAACAACAGATCACTACTCACGCGCCACCCTCGGCCGCCCCCGCCGACGGTCCGCAGCCCCCGCCAGCGTGATCGGCTACGGCGACCTCGAGTTCCGCCCCTGGTCAACGGCAACAACCACAACAACCACCACGCCCACCCCAACCGCCCGACCCCTCATCACCTACGACTGGGACCTCCCCCACCACAGCGACATGGCCCCCAGCCGCACCCACCGCGAGCGCGAGCGCGATCGCGAGCGTGTACGCATCCGGCCCCCCCGCCACCGCGACCACCACCACAACTCCCATTCCCACTCCCACTCCCCCTACCACAACAACCACAGCCACGAGCACAACTCCTCCGAAGCCGCCTCCTCTTCAAACTCGGGGACATCCACGAGCCCCGGGCTCCTCCCACCACCACCACCTCTTCCTCCACTATCTCCCGCAACACCATAACCACCACCACCTTCACCACCTACATCATCGCCT